TATCCTATCCTCGATCAGTACTGAGGATCACATAATGCCATCTTACCATTATTATCACGCAGGGCGTCTTTTTTAATGGGACACTTTCTATTCTGCAGCTAAAGACAATTGTTACCCCTTGAAACAAGAGAACACCTCAGAGGCACGGAGAATGTGCCTCGTCGGCTGTCCTATGGACCTACACTTTCTGCCTTTAACTTTCAATTTGGGCATTATATCGATAAGTGATTGTAAAATTTCACCTTCTAAGGAAGAGACAGGAGAGAAAACAGAGGCATCCAAACGGAAAGAGAGACGAGGAAGTCATTCACCGACTCAAGAGTGTCACAAGGGGTGAGGGGTGGGCAAAGGTGGAGTGAGAGTCGCAGTTTTCGTCGACCCGCCACCGGAACTGGCCAGAACGTTGACATAGCGAGCTCGAGTGCTAACACCGCCACCGCCGCCGCCACCACCACCACCACCAGAATGGAGGGCTGGTGGAAGCAGTGGTGGCACAGCACCAGTGTGCCCCACGGGAAGCGACGCAGATGTTGACACAGATGGCGGTGCTGGTAGTGGTGGTGGCGGTGGTGCCGTTTCCTCCAAATCACCACCAGCCATGTCCTGCCAGCAGCCTGCTGCTTCATTCCACACAATCTAAAAGGTGTTCAGTAAGAAAGTGATATTGTGCCAAATGAGTTCCGGTTAACAGAAGACAGGAGACGCATAAAGAAACTTGCACATGATTTTGTGGAGGAAGATTGATGAAGTCTAACAAAAAACCATCCAAAACTATCTGATTTAAACTGTTTCCCTTAGTGACGCTAAGACTGACGTTAAAGAAACGTACCAGAACAATAATTTTTCAAACCACCCACTTTGTTACTCGAGCCTCTAAGTCCTCTGCGAATTGTACCCCATGAAGTTAACCTACCAATTTTCCTACGTATCTACAATGACTTGATTTCCGACACCGTAGATCCATATAAGTGCCGTAGAGGCTTGACTGTGAGAAGACAAGCCAATTACTTACACCTCAACCCACATTACCGCACCAACTACTTGTCAAATGAATTAAACGCAATAGTTCACTGTATTAGAAAAAATAAGAGGTGAAGCATGGTAGGTAGGTTGCAATACGACCACTTGAAG